AATAGTGTGTCAATAATGCAAAATGACAATAGTAAACACTCATTTTTCAGTTAAAGGCAGTTCATCATTGAATTCAGTGATGTCATCATCCAACTCAGTTCAGTTTAAATAGTATCTTTTTTCAACACCATCAACATCAATTCCATGTGACAGTATTAAATGCATATGAATGCACAGTAAAATAAAAAAAATGTATTCATTTAAAAATAAATGAATAAAATAAAGTTATTTAATGAAATAAATTGTAATATTATTAAATTATTAAAGCTTATTTTAAACAAACATTTAAAATAACAGTGATACCACAACATTTAACAAAAAAAAAAAAAATGCAATTGCAAGTCACAAATTCAAAAAATGCATGTGTAATTATGAGAATAAACACTTTATATGTACAAAAGAGTGTATAACGACTAGTAAACAACAGAGTGGCCAGAAACAGATAAAATGTTAATTCATTCATCTCAGTTTTACATCTTGTGGCTTGTTTTGGCAATATTTGGCTACCACTGAGCAGTGTGTGTTTTTGCATCTGCCGGTGTGTGCATGTGCATGTATGCGTGTATACATGTGTCTGTGTGTATTATAGCATGTAATCAGAAGCCAACTGTCTCCTTATTCTCTAGCAGGCCTGTAAAACCCAAACTCATCAGCGTGGTGGTCCTTGCCTAAAATAATCCATGTAAGTGTTCATAGTGCTCACCAGTCTTATTAATAAACTACTGACCTTTACACCATCAAAAGCCACCTTCACTTATGACTTCACATTGTGAGTTCATTTTATGACTTATGAATATGTTTTCGAGCCCCTTCCATCTACCTTTAAACTGGCATGGCTAGTCTCTCAGCTGACCAAAGAAACATTATTTGGCAGAGGTCATTGTGTTTTTTTACCTTCATGTTGTTCCAAACATTTATTTGTTTTATGGTGTTCTTTTTGAAGTTTGAAAGCTCCAGTGCCCATTCATTGTAACTACATAGAAACAAACCTCCTGTATGTTTTTTCCCCCCATGCACTTAACTGACTCTGTCTCTGTTTCTCTCAGTGTCTCACTCTAGCTTTTTTAAATTGTAATTTTTATAGTTTGGAGCACTGTGACCTCGGCAAAGCATTGATAACATGATTTTAACCTCGCCACGGTTTTACACAGTGCTGGTAGGATTTGCACTGAATATTTGAGGATTTATATACTCTATATTATTTAAGTGCTTGAATATTTTTTTATTTGATTTGATTACACATGTGTGTGTGTATATTCCAAATATATATAAAATGTATAAATTAGATTTATAAATGAAGAATAACATAAAATATCAAAGCTTTCTGACAAAATTAAAGTGATTCGCCTAAAAACTGAGCAAAAAAACTTCCATCACATCACAAGCTGATTAATGTTGAAGACATAATTAGTTTATACGTCATGATCCCATAACGTTCATTCCAGTTGAATATAATTGGAGGTTAACCTCCAGATGAGTTTGTGTAATATTTTTAATGACTCATGTCCAGAAGAGCTAATTTTGCTGCCTAGTAATTAAATCTACCTGTTTTCTCATCCACTCATTTACCACTACAAATGCACTGAACAGTGGAACTTTGTGACTCAGGATAATAATTTTTTTGGAGATCATCAGAATTATGTTATTATCTTGACCTAACAAAAGCAATTTCATAATTAATTATAATTTTAAAATGCCACTATTAAATAAATGACACATTGGCTAATGTCTTCAGTGATTTGGGGAAATTGAATTTTAGGAATTACTTACAATACACTTAATACAAAATGGTTTCTAAAATGTAATAAATCAATTTAAATACGTACTGTAGATGCAGTTAAGAGTTTTTAGTAATGCATTAAAATCAAAGTGGATAAGATCATATTTAACTTCTATATCATCTTTTTTCCTCTAGTTGTGAATGTAAGCAGTCACATGTTTTCACAGTCCAATAAACTCAATGTCTTTAGGTTCGATGAGGTCAAAGAGTCTAGTAAGTCTGGTAATAACTTGTAAAACAACACCGAGGTGGTAGGATTTGCATTGAAAATGTATATATACTCTATATTGGTTAAGTGGTTGAATCTTTTTATTTTAAATATTTTATTTCATTTCTTTTCATTTAAGGAGCCATTTGATTCCAGGGTTTCTTTATCTGAGAAATAAAATTTGATATAAAAAAAAGTGGAGGAGGTATTTGGTTACCTTTTCATATCAAATAGCTCTAGCCACGCCTGCTTTAATCCTTTATGTTATATATGTTTATTGTATTGTTATGTAATGCAGTTAATTCATTACATAAGTCATTCAGTTAAATGTTTAAACCCAGTTAAACATTGATAATAGTGTGAAAACAAGGATTTTTATTTGCCAAACTGCCCAAATTTGGAAGGAGAAAGATATAAAACACATTTATAATGACATATGTAATGTACTTTGTGTGATGCATAATGGAAAATCAGGGTGCTTATAGTCATACAGAATATGGCAAGAATTTACACCTCATAAGCATTAATGAAAAGCTGACCAGTTGCCGCCCCAAAAAAGCATAAAAAAATGTATGAATGTCATTGCATTAAATAACAAAATATTTAAACAAGTGACAGACAAGCACACTTTTTCTGGGAAAAAAAAGAAAAGAATCAAGTTTGTTAGGTTTGATTTACAAATACTTTACAAAACTGAGACAAAGAAGAATTTGGACAATTTGTAGGACATATAGTTAATTTGATGCAATATGTGATTACTCTGCTAGGACAAATATGTGAAGAAAGGAACTGACTTCATCTAAAAATCACAGAAACACCTGCTGGTTCAAAATAATTGCAAAAATGGCGGGAAAAGTGAAGATAGTTCTAAGAAAAGGTATAGCACATATTTGTTTGCAGATGCAGTTTGGTTTGTTGTCAACTGATACAATTACTTTTTTTCCATTTTAAGTGTATCTTGATTGTTCAGAAACATTTGGGGCTGATGTTTGTGAAATGCATTTTTGCCAACTTTTTTGTGGAACTTACTTGTGGAGCTCTTATTACTGTGGGACATTTTTAGAAAGTCCAGTTGTCATGGTGAAACATTGTGAAACCTAACTGAAATACATTTCTTTTTTTCCCCCCCTCGAGTGCACATGTATTATTGTCATATTTAAGGCTTATTTGTACTGTACACCACCTCTAACCTCATTTGATTTAATTGCTTTCTTTATGGCATAATGGTATGCACTAACCTCAGTCTGGACTTAAATGCCATTGAAATCTTAGGCCGTTGGTGACAGAAATTAAACGTGTAAAATATGTTGTGATGACAGTCAGTTCTCAAGCATAACGTCTAAAATGGGTTTTGGACAAAGTTTTTATATGATTTATTCAGTAATCATTCATGTGATTTGTCAAGTTATTTATACTCAAAAAGGCCAGCTTGACTTCTCTTATGCTTTTTCACTTTTAGACATTCTATTTTAAGTAAGTCTTTTCCCCTCACTTTTCCCTCTCAGCATCCATTTGTCTTACCTTGTTTATTTTCTTGAATGTTTTATCCTTAAATACTTTAAACACTTCTCTCCTTATAGAAATTAGGCAGCAGACATTGGTATTGCCTTTAGCCATCTTTTCTATAGTCACATGAATCCTGGAGCAACAGGGATCCGGAAACTGTTAATGAAAATGCCTGGAAATATTACCCTATAATGGCTTTAAATTTGGTAGCTGTGCCTGTGTGCTTAATTTGCCCTCTTCTATATTGAGTATAAATTGGTATAATCAGAACAGTGTAGATCCTTGGTGCAAAAATGAGAAACTAGGCAATTAAAAATATTTTAGTCATCATTACTTTTACAGTTTGGCCCAGATCAGAAGATTTATAGCAAACACCCTTTGATACTAAATGTTTTATTGGTCATGATACCATTCCACGTCCTGATGCTGTTTTTCCATGGCTACTAGGAACATTGCAATGTCTCTAAATAGAGGAAGTTCCACAGTATCCTAGTAATCATTCATTTTATTACTATTTCAATAAGACGCACTATGCAGCAAACAAAGTACTCAAGTGCATGATGTGTAGCCTTTATCTCAACAGGTTTTACAGTGTTTGATCAAGAGCAGAACCTGTACAGTCATGTGTTTGGATAGCAAGTACAAGCAGTTTAGAGTCATACAGGATGATCATAAATAACTGCCAGCTGTATATACATTTAAACAGGTAGTCTGTATTCTATCTATCTATCTATCTATCTATCTATCTATCTATCCATCTATCTATCTATCATCTTGAAGTCACATGAGTCACTAAATTATAAATGATGCAATATTAACAATAAATACCAGGGGAACACTGCATGATTCAGACTTTGTCACAGTGAAATGATATGCTTTTGTGTGTATATTCTTTCTACACTTTTTGTCTCAAAACCGCAGAGAAAAGCTGGAATGTACCAAACACTTCAGTTGCACGGCAATGCAAATTCTCTCTTTAATGTCCCGCTTATAATATTTTGATTATTTTGAGCACAAATTTGACTTTGAAAGCACAGACTTTGATTTCTGCGCATTTACTTCACAAATTTAAAACAAGGTGAGGGATTATAATTGTTAAAAATTAAATAAAAAAAATAAGAATAAATAAAAATGTATTTTATAGTGGTTAAAATTTGAGTAAATAATATATAAAAACATTTTAAGAAATAATAAATGTAAATGTAATAAAAAAGTGAATAATACATTAAATTATATAAATTAAATAAATTAAACAAATATATGAATACACATACATACATACATACATATATAATTTAAAATTAAATTAGTATTATTTTTTTTATGCCCAATTCATACATTTTTACTTATTATTTGAGACTTTTAATCTTTCAATCTTAGTCTTTCAATCTTTAATCCAAGATTATTCATTCATGTATTATGGAAACTACAGCAGAATCACAGCGACCGAACGCTGCGTACCGGACTACACCGGGTGGATGAGATTAAACTGAGCGCAGAGTGGGAGGAGTTGACATGGGAGGAGCTGAGCATTCAAAGCCACGCCCACCGACAGACAGACCGGTTGGACTGGAGATGTCCATCGCCCGAAGGCATTTGACTCACCTGAGAGTTGTAGGAACGCACATCTGCTCAAGACACCAACTAAGCTTTACGAGTGATCGGTTACATAAGCAAGCAAAGCAGAAATCAGCCAGTTCAATGTAGCAAGCCTGCAAGCACGATCACTAAAGCGGGAGCTCATGATCGCCCTATGAACAGCAGGTAAGCGCAGAACTGCTACTATTCTGCTCTGAGATATCGAAAACATTGAATGCTCTTGACTGAGTTTGAATAAGAAAAAAAAGATAGCATTCCTACATAAGTAGCTACTTAACAGGGTTTATTAATACAGGACAGTACATTTATATGATCAAAATGTTCTGTTGAATGATTTGACTGAACTACATATTCTGCGTGTAATTAATTAAATTTCACATTTAAATCTGCCTAATTTAAATATTTCATATTTAAGCCACTTTACTATGGTTGTTATAGTTAGTTATTAGTTACCAGTAAGAACATGCAGAGTGCTTCATATGGTAACACCTAATTTAACTGCATTTATTCAAGTAAATAGATAGGTATATAGATAGATAGATCGATAGATAGATAAGGGTAGAAATATCTCCTGAAGAAAACTTCACTTTTTGTATAGTTTTATAAGTAGATAAGAAAATCTATATTTATAAAATATTTAAATAAAAAAATATATTTTATGTTATGTTTTATTTATACGTTTGACAAGGGTGCTTCTGAAGTGGCGCAAAAGAATGTTTTTTTGTCAAAAAAAAAAAAAAACTGTTAAACTGATAAATCAGTGTGTAAAATGTTGGCCACCCTTTAGTACAGTGTATTATTTGTTATATTAAAAAATATGGAAAGAATCACTAATCTATGAATCAATATGAGTGAATATGAATGAGCTACAGCTCATTCATATTCACTCAATATGAGTGAATATGAATGAGCTACAGCTGTAAACAATTACATATTAAGTAGCCTGTATGTTACCACTGTGCACTGCTATTATAATTCATATACACTTAACAGGCACTGTGATGTAAAGTGTGATTTTAACCTTTTTGATTTTGACTTGACCATCAAATAGCCTCACACTGGCCCAGAATCAGATCAGCGCTTTACAGTCTAATTATATTAGCGGGTGGAAAGTGCTGATATAGGCGTTCATTATGTAATGAGCTTTGCATTGGTCTAATCCAGGGAATAAGAGGACAGAATGGCTGTGAAGACTTCAGTGTTCCAGTTTGTCAGTGCTCATTAACAATTTAATAATGGGTGACTTGTTGTGTTTCAAAGTGTTGGTTTGTGGTGTCATATTTGATTATTTTGTCAGCTGACATTGTAATGCAATTCAAACAGAGGCAGAGATCTCATTTGAATATTGATTAGAATATTGATAGTCTGGAATATTGACAGTTTTCCTAAAGCTGATTAATTGAATCAAATGAATTAAATATTTTTTGGTTGTATTGTTTGCCTTTAGTTTAGACTGAGTTTGTACAAATAGACTTCTTGTGATACTTTTGCTCTATACTGTAATGCTGAATTGAAACTGAACAAATTCTGGTTTCACTTATGGTGATACAATCTTAATTGTTCGTACTGATATGAACAATAAACTGAGGTCAAACAAAGTGTACAGTACAAACAGGAATCAAATTATATTTGTCTTATGTATTTAATATTAATTTGATATTCAGATGCATAAAACCAATCAAACCCAGTGCATGGCGTTGGGTACTGAACACACCGGAAGAGCTGACAATAGCTTCTTAACCTGTTAAAAGTGAGACCTGCCACTTCCTAAGCGGTCATTCAACTTATTGTATCAATGAGAGTCTTTAACACACTTGCATTTAGCTCTGGTTGTTTATTGAGCTGTGTAATAAAACTCCTGCTATCATGATAGTCTGTCTTTTGTTGGTTAGTGCCATCCTGAGGGCCTAAACGTGTGGATTGTATAGATAAGTGGCCAACAGTGTACTGCAAACACATACCAGCTTCATCACTGTGTCTGTCACGCGACTCTGTTCCCCTTTCGGGCTCTGTCTTTACATTTATTTTGAAAGCTGACGCTCGCGATTATGGTAAGGGGCGTTACATTTCCGACGAGTGCTTGCGGTGTTCGGCCAATCACAATGCACTGGGTCAGCTGGCCAATCAGAGCAGGCTGCGCTTGTCGGAAGGAGGGACTTTGTAGAAAAACGAAGCGTTTGAGAGAGGCGGGGCATAGAGGACCTACAATAATGTACAGTATTTGAAAAATAATGTGTTTTTTGAACATTAAAGCATGTCAACATATTCTGTTACACCAAATACACAAAATAATGATCTTTAAAATAGCATCATATGACCCCTTTAGTGAAATATACAGTTATAAGTTGTAAAATATATAGACATCCTGTAATACCGGAAACATTGTCATGGTAGTTTTTTACTTTGAGTTTCTGGCAACAACAGCTCCAAAGTTATTACTATGAAGTTTTTTTTTTACCATGACAAATTCAGACAGGTGTTCATTTTTCCTCAATTACTGTAGTTTGTGCTATTAATGTAGGAATGTTCTTTGCTATAAAATAATGACTGAACATGACAACAGTGCTTTTGAATTAGAGTTTACATGATTGATTAATGGACATACTGGAACATCAGCCTGGCATTCAGGTAATTCACTGCAATTTGTTGAGCTGATGTCAATTCGGCGCTCACTTTGTGACAAGCTGTCAAAGCCACCCTGAAATTAAATATACCATTTAACATGAGCAGATTAATGCAGTAATACTTAAAGGGGTCATATGATGTTGCTAAAAAGAACATTATTTTGTGTATTTGGTGTAATGAAATGTGTTTATGTGGTTTAAGGTTCAAAAAACACATCATCAAATTTTCATTTTTGGGTGAACTATCCCTTTAATTAGTCTTACGCAGTTATCGCTGCCCACCTGAATGACTAGATATGCCCCCAGAGACACAGGTCCACCTGTCAACAATGTAATGATCCTAATCCCTAACGTTAGTCTGGATTTACCTCATGGCCGATCACTTTTCAGGTCTATGTCACACACACTAGTGCAACACTACACCTCTGAGGAGGAGGTGGTTTGGATCTGGCTTGCTCTGGATGGTTGTGCATTGTGCAACTGGCACAGAGTTTTGCTGCGGGGGCTGGAAAACAGTATTTGAAAGAACAACACACTAGACTCACAAATGCCTGACAATGGCAAACTGTCAGGAAAAAAAAAAGTGTTAATCAACCGTGAAAGTTTAGATTTGAGAGCATCTTTGAAAGTTGCTTCCTGCTGTGGTTTTCCACTGAATTCTGGATAATATCTAAACAGATGGCCCCTTTTCTAGGAAATCTTTAATTACGTTTCTTGGACAGATGTTTGGCATGTGACAACATGCCCTATGTACACTGAAAAAAATTGGTGTGGCAACAGTTTTCACTGAGAAATTGCTAGTAAATTTCACAAATAATTACAAGAACCAAACCTGTGGGGGAAAAAAAGATAATTGCGACTTAACTTACAATTCAGGAAAAAAAAAGTCAGATTTGTGAGATATTACGGATGCAGGAAAAAAAATAGTAGGCTAAATCGTGTGCACGGTTTACTATTTCGTTCCCTCGATTTATAAATTGTGCGCACGATTTACTAATTCGTTCCCTCGATTTATAAATTGTCCACACGATTTACTAATTCGTTCCCTCTATTTGCTAAATCGTGCACACGATTTATAAATCGAGAGGACGAGTTAGTAAATTGTGCGCACGATTTAGCAAATCGAGGGAACGAATTAGCAAATTGAGGGAACTAAATAGTAATCGTGTGCACGTTTTAGTACATCGAGGGAACGAATTAGTAAATCGTGCGCATGATTCATTCATTTTTTCTTGCATGTCATGTGCGGGGATCCGTAAAATGAGAAAAATAATCATAATTGTGAGATAAAACTCACAATTGCAAGAAAAAAAGTCAGAATTATGAGATAAAATGCATTTATTTCGTTTTTTTATTCTGTGGCAGAAACACTACAGAACAAAACAGAATTGACCCTTCGCAGGGAGTTTGATTGACAGGCGATTTAACCAATCATAATGGTGAATCAGCCATTTTGTCCGACAAACAAACCAGACAGGAGAGTAGATTAACATTGGTGGATTTGAACTTGAAAAATTTTATATATTGATGCTTTTCCGCAGTTGAAACAAAATACCCTCTGATGTTCATTCATGTTTATTTTGTGCTATAACTAGTAACGAGGAAGAGATGATTGGTTCACGTGCTGCTTGAACTGAGGTGCTACAACGATCTGTCACGACACATTAAAGAGCCACATTTCTTGTATGTATTTATTGTTTGAATTTGTGTGCATTTATTGTTTGAATTTCTTAAAAAATGACCAAATTTGAAAGCTGAGACTTTGTTTAATACCAAAAGTAACCTGCTCTGTGTTGTTTTTCGGCACGTTGCCAGTTCCCTCTTTGCTCTGCGATGTATTTTTCAGTGCGTGAGAACATGATGTGGCATGAGAGCGACGTGGCTTGTTGGACGTAGCAACAGTAACTAAGGGGGGCAGGTCTTTGTGAAGGGTCAATTGCAAGATGTAAACTTAGAATTGTAATTTTTTTTAATTTAGAAAAACTTACGTAGTTAATAAAAACTAAAATTTCTTTCCCTCTTACTTTCTTGTTTGTGTACAGTGCAATATTTTAGTGTCAATGCTTTTAATAGCCATACAAATTGAAACATGATAGGGTTTAATCGCATACAGGTAACTCTGGATTTCCTGAAGCAAACAAACAATGATGTTCTTTTCTCATAATAAGGGCTCTAATGCACTCCTGCTGGCATATGATGATTCATGACCGTGGCATTTTTTCTGGCAAGAGGTCCAGAATAGAAGTGAAAAATGCATTTTATTTTATTTCATTGCAGTGACTACCATCGCCATGTCATCTTTTTTTCTGAATAGCTGTTGTACCGTCTTGAGTGATAGGTTAAATGGTAAATATAGCCATCCTAATTGGAAAATTGTACTTGCTGTCTGTGGTTGATGTGTGCTGAAACAACCCACATAACCTCACTACTCTGTAACGATACTCAAACTATGACCCAAACATTCACCCAACATGACTGTCATTCATTTATATTAATGAATGACTCCTAATTTATATGTAGTTAGTAAAAACAGATTTGAGC